CTCCTCCACGGCCCCTCTCTCCGCGCTAACCTCCTCCCCGGGCACCCACCCTCTCCTCTCTTCTGCGAACCCTCCCCCGTCAATCCCCGGGGCGCGCAAGGGGGAACCCCGGCCACCGGCGCCGCGCTCCACGCAGGCGCAGAGCCGCCCGGCTTCCCTGAGGCCGCCGCACCCCTCCCTGCGGCCCGCGCGCCCGGTTGCCAAGGCGACGGCGAGGGCCGGAGCGGGAACCTCCGGAAGACCCCACTCTCTCTCCCTCCCCCGCCACCTCCTCAGCAAACCCCACTCTGGTTTGAGCCGGTTTCCCCACCCCTCCCCCAGTGCGCACTGCGGCGTGTGAGGATTCCCTTGCCCACAGGGCGGGGGTCGGTCGGGGATCGACGCATGCGCGCAGGGCGAGGCTTTCCCTCCCAGACCGGCGCTCGACGGGAAAGCCCTAGCGCGTGAAGCGAGCACCCCCGCGCAGGCGCAGTGAGCGCCCGGCGTCCCCACAGCCCCGCCCGGTTGTCCCGGCAACGCGCGCGGGGAGGGCTGGGAGAGCACGGAACTCCCGTCTCACGCCCCCTCCCGCGCACTGCAGCCGAGTCGGGGATTCCCTGCTGCCCGCGCGCAAGCGCGGGCCTGGGATTCCGCGGGGGCGGGGCCGGAGAAAGAAGGGGCTTTTCCGTGCTAGGGAACAAAGGCTATTACCATATTCCCTTTGTCAGAGGATCGAAGCGGTCCTCTCAGCTCCGGAGTGTTATTTCCTCTCTGGTCCACCGGCCATCTCTCTGCAGGTCCCCGGGAGAGCTTGCCACACGCAGCTCCGATAGTTTTCCTACCTTGCTCACAGACCCGCCGTGGCTCCCTACCTTCCTGCGGTGAAGCCCTATTCTTCAGCCCGGCGTCTGAGGCCCTGAACGCCCAGCTGGTATCTACCTTCTGGTTATTCACCATTGGTCGCTAACCAACCCCCCCCAATTCCAGACCACAAAGACCTCAACGTGCCCACGCAGGAGGCTCCTTTGCCAAGCCTTTCTTCAGGATATGCCCTTCCCAGGCACCATCTCGTTGATTCTCGAGATAGCCTGGGGTTAGATACTGTTTTAGTCCCGTTTTATACAGGAGGAAATTGAAGCTTAGCCCCATTAAGGCCCTGGCCTAAGACCGCAGAGGTAAAAGGCAGAACCGTCTATTTGTGAGGAGACATCTGGGCCCCTCCACCCATTATTTGGCCTTCAACCCTGATTCTGGACCCCACTGCTGTCCCTGCTGGCTCCCTCACAGCCCTGGGTGCCTTCTGGCTATGTGACAGGCAGGTGGCTTCGTTTTCCCATCTGTAAAGGGGATAAATATCTCATGGGGCTGTCCCCAGGCTTCGGTGACATATTCCCATGTGCTAGGCCAGGGCCCAGCATCTAGGGGATGTTTCTCACAGCTGGTCTAGTTTGGTGGTGGCTTCCCCACCCTGCTTCCTGGTGCGATTTTCCTCCTTGTCATGGCAACCCCTGCAGGGCGCCTGCTTTCTGTCTTGCTTCCCTAGAGCCCACGGGGTCTTCTGGGAATACTTCCTGCATTCCTCACATGTCTTCTAGTGGTGGTTTTAGAGTTGGCTCCACGATCCCCAAACTAAGCCATTGTTCAATATATGTTGGTTAGTTTTATGCCAACCAGCAACTGCTTCAGGAACCTTCCATTTTGCATTTTAGCTGTACCCAATTATTAATGGCACCCCTCCCTTGAACAGGAAAGCTGTGACCTCCAGGCCTTTGCACATGTGGTTCCTTCAGCCTTTTCTGTCCCTGTCTGTGCACAGAATTCCTATGCATCCTTCGAGGCCTTCCCTCCATGAAACCCTCATGGCCCCCTTTGGCCCAGCCCTGGATGCCACACAGTTGGGGGGTATGGAGACCAGAAGCCACAAGGGCAGCCTTGTGGAGGCTGTCACGTGGGTGAGAGCCATCGCAGTGACCTGGTAAATGCTTGGACCCTACCCCTACCCGTGGGGGCCCATCTGGCTGCTGCCCTCCCTTTCTGCCAACTTTCCAAGGCCAACTAAGCTCTAGGAAGCCAGAACCAGGAACAGATCTCACCCAACCCTTCCCAGACATGCAGCCTCTGATGGGACATTTATTCCTACCCGGATCCACCTGCCCGTTCCAGCCTCCAGGCCCTCGCCTGCCTACGGCCCTGCCTATACAATGGGATCTGACTCATCTCCCGCTCAGGCCCGCTCTGAAGAAATCCTCCACTGGGAAGCCTGCCCATGACTTGACCCAGATGCCTCCCCTGTTGGAGTAACACCAGAGCAGCCAGCATTTCCTGACCCCCCGAGCACAGCATGTGACCTGACTGCTGACTCTGAACCAGAACCTCAGGATGCTAACACATCGCCTTCAGCTCGCCTCTGGTTCTGCCCCTGAAGTACTTTGTGACCTGGAGCCAGTGCCTCCACCTCTCTGAGCAGTCCCCTCGTAGCAGCCCAGCAAAGCTTCCAGGGGTGGTGGTCCAGGTCCCTTAATGGACAAGTGGCCAGCCAGGTGGGGAGGCCGTTAAGAGCCAGGCACAGGTCTCAGCTTGCTGCGACAACACGCAGTTGGGGGCCCTGATCTTCTCTGGCCGTGACCCCTGCATTCCAGCCCTCCTCTCCCCACCACCCACCCACCCGCCACCCACAGAGACGTCGAGTGCACGGTTTGCCTCACCGATTGCCTTTATTGGGCATCAGCCCCAGGGCTCCACGGGCGCAGGAAGGGGGTGGTGGGTGTCACTTGAAGCAGGGACCCTCCGGTGGGAGGCACGACCGATGATGCCACCTAGCCCCCAGGATGCTTGCCTCAGCCCCGGACCTCTCTGTAACCCACGCAGCTGACCCAGCGGACGGCGTGTGAGGTCATGACCCTGACCGCCTGTAGGGCGGCTCCCCCAGTTCTGGGCTCACTTGGGGGTATTGAAGGGCACGGCCCGCTGGTTCATGGGGTTGTCTGGCGACCGCAGCCACTCCTTCTTGAGCAGCTGCTTCAGCTGCGACAGCCGCATGTTGGGGTTTTCTTGCTTGAGCCGCGGCAGCTGCGCCTCCTCGAAGGCGGTGAAGGCCGCCCGCATGCGGCGCTCTGGGTGCCGGTCTGCAGCCTCCTCCGTCACGCTAGGGGAGGACAGTGAGGAGGAGAGCGGAGTGAGGGGGGGGAGGGGTCTAGGGTGCGGCCCCGCCCGCGGGGAGGGCCGTGCTCCGCCCCCAGACACATAGCCCCACCCCCGGCGCCCAAGCCCCACCCCATCACCTGAGCACCGCGATGGCATCCTCGATGGTGCGCGCCTCCACACTGCCCTCCTCCAGCACGCGGCGGTTCACATTCTCCTCCAGCGGCACCTCCAAGTGGCTCTTGGCTTTCTCGGCTGGGGGCGGAAGACAGCCAAGTGACAGGGACACACACAGGGACAGAGATAAGCGGGGATGCAGAGCTCCGGAGAGATGAGAGCGACGCAGTGGGGGAAGAGAGGAGAGAGAAGGAGGCAAGCAGGCAAAGAACGATGGGGGCGCCCTCCTGTCCTCCCAGCGCCCAGGCCCCTGCCCAGGCCACGCTGCCATCCTGACTTCCCTGCAACTGAGCACACAGGAGGCACCCCCACTCCTGGCTGCTGTCTCCTTACCCTCCGGGCACCCCATTCAGTCCCCGGAGACCCCATGGCCCACAAGCAGAGGTCAGATGCACAGCAAGTAAATACACACGTGTTTGTGCCCATGCTCTGGGTGCTCAAAGCCAGGCCTGCCAGGACGCTGCCCACCCCTGCTTCACCACACAGCCCGGGCAGCTTCTCTGGGGGTGAGGAAGGGGCTCTAGACTCAGCCAGGGTTAGTCCTGCGGCCTGGCCTTTAGTGGGGGAAAAGGCAGCTCCAGAGCGAGCCAAAGCCCCACCTGGGTCTGGGGCTTCCTTGTGTTGGTGGTCTCGACGGAGCGTCTCCTCAATCTGGGCGCGGGTGACCTTGCTGGGCGCGGCCACCCGGGGGGCCTTGCCACCCTTGAGCTTGGAGTCTTCCTCCTCCAGCAGGCGCTGCGTCTCCTTCTTGCGCTCTAGCTGCTCCAGGCGCCGCTTCTCCTTCTCCTCCTGGGGGGAGGGAGGCGATCAGGAGTGGGCCCCACCACTGGCATGAGGTCTGGGTTTTTATCTATCTCACCCAAGGCAGACTGAGGCCCTGCTGTGTGCTAGACCCTGTGCTGGGCACAGCGGACACAGCTGGAGCACAACAGGCCTACGTGAGGGCTCCCAGCCTACAGTACTATGGGAGCAAAGGGAACCTTGGCCAGGGCAGGTGGATGGTGGCTCTTGAAGGAAAAGCGACGCCTGGGCTGGAGGAGGAGCCAGACAGGAAGAGAGATGGAGGACAGGAAAGTCCTTAGAGGTGGGAATGCAGGTGCAAAGGCCCTGAGGCAGGAACCTCCTAGCAGGACAGAGGAGAGACTCACAAAGGCTGGTGTGGCTGGAGCAGGGAGGGGAAGCTCGGCAGGAGAAGAGGTGGGGAGGACATAGGGTGGGACCCCAAGGGGCCTCAAGGGAGGGGTTTGTATTGGATTCCGAAGGTGACAGGACCCAGGGAAGGTCTGAGCCCATTTGCTGGCTGGGGCAGGGGTCTGCCCTTATGGGCACTGTCCCTAGCCAAGTGTCGCAGGGGCTGTGACTGGTCCCACCTTGCCCCTCAGGGAGGCCTTGATGCCATCTGACCTACAGGACTTGCCCTTGGCCGCTGCCCCTCACCACCTCCACCAGGGGGCAGAGTCACGGCCTGGTTCATTTGTAATGCAGGGCAACCACAGGCTTGGAATATTCGGCCACCTCCCACCCGCACCCCCACAGGGCCCTGCACCTCAGGCACCTCCGCCTGCCTACCCTCTGCCTACAACTCTGCCATCTGACTTCCATGCCCTGGGGGTGATCCCCACTCCTTCAGTGCCCTCTGTGACACTCCTATAGTGGAACGAAGCGTCCCCCTGGGCCTCTGAACTCTAACCTGCCTGCGCAGCAGGAAAGTGGAGGCAAGGTTAAAGGTTAAGGGCCCCCACATCTGTGTTCAGGCACGTCAGGCAGGGCCACTGTCCGAGCCTGAGTTTGCCCATCAATTAGAGGTAATGTCCTCCCGAGGCCCCCTCGTCCCTGCACGGTACTCATACAGCCCGTGTTCGTTCTGTCCCCAACACGGCCCTGCCTCAGCCTTTGCACTGGCTGTCCTCTCCTCCTGGGGCGCCGAGGCCTCCTTCCCTGGCTAACTCCGGCTCCTCCCGAGCTCCTGGCTCCTTATCAGCCCCTCCACCCCATGGCTCTTTCCCGTGTTCCGCAAATCCCTGCTTCTGGTCTTCTGACTATCTGGTTTGTCCTGGAGGCAGGAGGCAGGCCCTGGCCTGGGTTTTGAACAGCTGCCTGCTGGCCCCAGGCCCAGTAACACAGTAGGTGTTAGTAAAATTGTGCTGCATGAACGCGTGAGTTCCAAAAAGCTCCAATAACTCAGGAAAGACACTCGCTTGCGGCTGTTGGTCTCTAGTGACATGGGACTGAGGAGGGAGCATGAGCATTTATGCTTTGACATTCAGCAAAATTTTGTGACAAAGTCACTTGCAGTTTGCAAAAAAAGAGCCATCAGCAATGGGCAGTATCTGGTGATGGGTGACGATAAGTCCACTCGGCAGAATATTCCTGCGCCATAAAAAGTGAGTCTCATAAATAATTGACATGGAACCCGGAGAGTCAGGTGCTCAGGCAGAGCTGCTTAATACGGAACAAGTGGAGATAAACTGCTGACTTCCGGGCGGCGGGGGAGGGGGTGGCGATGAATTACGGCCCCATCCGCGACCGCTGCCTGGTGGCCAGGAGAAATATGGCTGTGGGACCCTACTGAACTGAAGACACGGGCTTTAGGGTAGGACACTGGGGGGGAAAAGTCTGGTGTCACGTGAGGGAGGATGTGGGTTTTTTAGTGTTTTGGAGTGAGCATGAATTTGCTTTTTTCTTCCTTTTTTTAAAATTTTTTTAACTTTTTTTTTATTT